TTGGCCAGCAGGCCTAGTGTTGTGGGACAGGCCAGCCAGGCAGGTTCTGGGGATCCTGGGTGCCATCTGTCTTGCCCAATCTTCCCTCTGAATCTGTCATATGTGACCCATTGGTCTGTTGGCACTTGGCCCTCGTCACTGGTAGGCTGGAGGAAGAAGGTGGGATTCCCTGGCTGTCTAACAAGAAAGCAGGATATGGGGCTGAGGTGTAGCTTGGGGCTTGCTATGTGCTTGGTCTGCAGGCCTAGGCCCTGATGAAAAGCGCCTCAGTGAAAACCRAGTCCAGCAGAGGCTTTTCCCAGGAGGGCAAGGATGTGGGGACAGACCTTGGCTTTGCCCAGATACGTTGCTTTCTCTGGGTTACCAGAGTTTCCTTATCTATKAAAAAAAGGGCTCAGGATTCCACTGTTCTGTGAGCAGCACAGACTTCTCAAGTGTAATAGATGCCTTCTCAGTTGGGCCTCTGGTCACTTTGGGGTCTTCCCAAAAGCATYGCAAGGGATCAGTGAGTGGATCCTCCTTCCCAGTAGGAGCCACTGCTGTACAAAAAGAAACGAACAATTTGGTGTTTTTAACAACTTCTGGTGTGGCAGCCAGCTTCAGGAGGCTGAGGCAGGAGGATCACAACCTCAGCATTGTGGTGCGATCCTCAGCAACTTAGCAAGACCCTGTCTCCAAATATAAGGACTAGGGTTGGCATGGGAATGTAGCTCCGTGGTAAAGCATCTTGGGTTCAAGCCCCAGTACCAAACCAGCAACAATAAAACTTTAGTGAAGCTGTAAATGTAAAAGAAAATGTTAAAAGGCCTATGATTCCCCCCAGAAAAAAATACAAGTTGATTATTGATTATCTACTGGTACTGAGGGTTGAACCCAGCTACTCTGTCACTGATTTATACCCCYGGCCTCTTTTAATTTTTTATTTTGAGACAGGGTCTCAGTTACCCAGGCTGACCTTGACGTTGCAGTTGTGTCTCAGCCTCCCAGGTTGYTGGAATTACAGGTGTGTGCCACTGTTCCCAGCTCCTCATCCCTCATTGTTTTTCCAGTGCTCAATATATAAAAATGAATAAAAGACAGTTGGCTTTTCAGGCTGGCTTGGCACCACTGACGTTTGAGGTACTGAACATTTCAGGTTTCACAGTCGCCTAGTCTGCAAACTGCTTGACTATCAGAGACAAAGCAACCAAGCACAAAATGTCAAGAAAGAGGTGAGGTGTGTTTCAATAAAACTTTATAGACACTGAGATTTGTTCTTAGCATGTTTTTCACGTATCTATAGATAGCTTTTGATTTTTTTTTTCCCTCCAAACATTTAACAAATGGAAAAACAGCTTCTAGCTTGGGAGCTCTAGTTTGCAGGCCCTTAAGCTCCCAAGTTGGACAGGGTGGGAGCAAACAGAAGCCACAGCTGTATCCGCCCAAGAGAGGGCAGAGTTTGAGGAAGGGTTTGAGCTGTGTCCAGACCAGGAAGAGAAAGGAGCATTCTGCATGAAGGAGCCGGCCCCGTGTGCCGTGTGGATCTGGAGAGTTCCACGTGGCATGATGTGGGATGCACAGGAGAACCTGGACGGAATGKTGTCGTCTCCCTTCACTCCTTAGAGAGTGGCTGCTAGTGGTCCTGCTTCCTGGCTTTGGGGATTGCCAAACCAAGGAAGTCGGTTATTATGCAAATGTCATACTGGGAACCCCAAGTTATAAATTAATTGTGTGAAAGTTTACTACGTCGTTTTGATCTGGATCCATAGGGGGCAAAGTCAGGGACTGAATTGTTGATAAGGTTTTTTTTTTTTTTTTAATGGCCTGGATAATATATTTTCTCTTGCTTAGAATTCACTCACTATTGCTTCAGTTTGCTCCTGGGGTTTTCAGTGGAGAAGTGAACTTTTGGTGTAGATGCATGGTAGCAGCTTTTTCGTCATGTCAAACCTTCCAGATGTATGAGGAAGAACAGGTAGGAGAGTGCTGGGCTACTTTGGAGGGGCCTTAAGGTCGACCGGAGCATCTCCCTGCTGGAGGTGGCCTTGTTTTCTCGGAGCGTCTACCTAACCCTTAACGTTCCCTTGTAGATAATCTGGGTTGGAACCTTTTGTCTTTTTTTTTTTTTTTTTTTTTTTTAAAGAGAGAGTGAGAGAGGAGAGAGAGAGAATTTTTAATATTTATTTTTTAGTTYTCGGCGGACACAACATCTTTGTATGTGGTGCTGAGGATCGAACCCGGGTCGCATGCATGCCAGGCAAGCGCGCTACCGCTTGAGCCACATCCCCAGCCCCACCTTTTGTCTTTTTGATGCTGCAGTGGAACCCAGGGCCTCAGGACCTACAGGCAGGCATTCTACCGAAGCTATACACCCCCAATTCTAGTTTTTTAAATTGCTATTTTTTGTGGTACTGGAGGTTGAACCCAGGGGCACTCTGCCACTGAGCTGTATCCATAGTCCTTTTTTATTTTGAGATGGGATCTTTTAAATTTATGAGGGTGGCCTGGAACTCGAAATCCTCCTGCCTGGGCCTCCTGAGTTGCTGGGATTACAGGCATGTGCCACCATGCCGGTGCCCTGCTCTAAATTTTCAGTTTTGAAGTGTGTGTGGAACTGTGAGTACTGGTAAGTGGGCCAGCCAGGAAATACTACTTTGCTTCTCACTTGCATATTTCCTCTGTGCCTTTGTCTCTCCTGTTCCTGGTATTTGGCGTAGGAGGAAGGGAGGCTTCAAACAAGTGCTCAGTTCTCCTCAAGCTTAGGAGAATTTAAAAAAACAAAGATGAATTCAAGGCTCAGGGTATAACTGAGTGTGGAGTCCCTGGCTAGCATGTACACAGCCCAGGGTTCCTCCCACACTGCCGAAATGAGGCTTAGGCAGACCCCATCATTATTATCTGTGGGGACGGGCACCTCATTTTTATCAAGGGTCTGGTTTGCAGCAGGACTGGCATCTTTTTCCCAAATGCCGTTTCCTTGGCCTGTGGTCACTTACTGAGTTTTGTTGTTTCAGCAAATAACTTGATGTATATGACTTTCCAAATCTAGGACGTTTGAAGAGATCTGTTTCTTGTGTTTGAATATRAATAACTTTGGTTCCAAGCCTTCCATGTGTGTTCTCCAAAACATCTGTCTTGGTGTCAAGGGAGAGTACCCACCCCAGGGCTCTCTGTGTGCCTAGGTGTTTTTTGTTTTTTTTTGTTTTAAACAGGCGATTGAACCCAGAGGCACTTTACCACTGAGCCACATCCCCAGCCCTTCTTATTTTTTATTTTGAAACAGGGTCTTGCTAAGTTTAGGGCTCAGCCTCCCAGGCTACTGGGATCTACAGGCACCACTGCACCCAGCTAGTATTTTCAAAAGTGATGAATTCACCAGAAAGATATTAAATGCCCATTATGAGCAAGCCACTGTGTCAAGAGCTCAGTGTTTATCATGTCATTTTTTCTCAACCACATGGTGAAGTAGTTAATGAGAACACAGAGGCTCAAAGTCAGGGATAACCAAAGAAGGATTTGAACTCACTTCAGCCTGATTTCAGAGCCTAATCATCTTGCCACTATCCATACCCTTCCTAGATCATAATTGTTTGTGGAGTCATTGGGAGGCTTCTGTTGGTGGTGGTGGTGTTGGTGGTGGTGGTATTGGTGGTGGTGGTATTGGTGGTGGTGGTATTGGTGGTAGTGTTGGTGTTGGTGGTGGTGTTGGTGTTGGTGGTGGTTTGCAGTGGTGGTTGCAATTCTGGCATGGAACCCAGGCCTTACCCAAGCTAAGCAAGTGCTGTACCCCTGAGCTCCACCCTCGGCGTGGGAAGAAATTTTTTTTTATGTAATTTTTAAAAATACCTTTGAGTTACAGATGGCTTTCCCAGGAAGTGGGGTGTAAGTGGTGCCTCTTTCAGGGGATTGCATGAAGCTGTCTTAATAAATAGTCTAAGGGCTGCACTCGGTTAGTTAGAGCATTTGCCTAGCACTTGTGAGGCACTTGATTTGGTCCTCAGTAAAGGTATTGTGTCTGTCTACAACTAAAAAAACAACATTTAAAAAATGAAAATAAATAAATAGTCTAAGAATGAACACCAGRCTACCCCTCCCGAGACCTTAGGGTGGGCAGGCCATGCTGAGCCCTGGGCCTGCTGTGTTAGCCCCAGGTCCTGCAGTGAGCACTTGCTGCTCGTGGGGTTTGGCCCAAGATCCTGAGGCTCTGTAGCAGGCATGAAGTCCTCTTTCTGCTCCCAAGTTCACTGGAGAAAATYCCTAGAAGCCCAATATTCAATGACTTCTTTTTCAAAAAAATAAGTCCACAGTGAAATCGCTCAGGCGACTGCCCCTGCCTGGCAGCCCTTGCTGGCTTCCCTACTTGCTGTTCAGTCTGGTGCTTCTCTGCTCRTGGAAGGGGCTGCTGAGTGCCCTCCCTCCCTGTGTGGAGCACAGTGCTCTCCTGTGCGGCCTGCTCAGGTTGGAGCCTGGAGCTGACCTTTGTCCCACATGCCCCAGCACTGAACTGCAGCCTGTGCTGAATTCCTCTGCTCAGCCCCAGCAAGAGCCAGCAGACCCCGAATGGAAGGGAGTGTGKTTTGGTTTGGTTTGGTTTCAGTCTCTCTGTCCCCAAAACCAGGAATGTCTCATTCAGTGGCGTGATTTTGGAGGGTTTTGCCAAATCTTTCAGGGAGAGGAGCCAGAGGATCTTTAAAGGGAACTGCCTTCCCCATTCAGGCTTGTCTCCGTGAGCTTGTTTTCTCATACGCCCAGCAGCCCGTGGACAGCATGTCTCGGGAGGGCCAAGATGACTTTCATTCCTGTTGCTTATGACAGCTTGGACCTGAGATGCCTCCTGGTGAGAGCGCCATGAATCATGAAGTAAAGTGAGTTACAGGACGGAGAGGTGGAAAGCAGAGCCCTCCCTGGAGTGGCCAGTTCGGGATTGTTTTCCTCCTGCCCGGGCTGTTGCTGCCATTCAGTACCTTGAAGGTTAAGTGCTCCAGGGATATTTTTAAACAGCAGGGGCCAGCTAATCTAAAAGTGACATTTAAAGTCACATAGTGAGCAGCCGGCAGGCTTAGATTCAGGCCCTTAGCAAACAAGGGACTTGGAAAATGTCACCCTGAACGCACAGTTGAGAGGACATGGGAAAAAAAAGGCTGAAGAGCTAAAGTGGTAAGTCAGCCCCTCCCTCCCTGGGATCAGCAATCAGCCTGTGTCTAAGGGACCAGGAACTGAATGTAGCCTGAGAGCAGCCCCAGTACAAAAGTGGGCACTTGGGGTTCCTAGGAGACCCGCTCTGGTTGAGGGATGCTGCCCAGAAAACCTTGGGACACAAAGCAGACAAAAGAGAAGGGCCTTGTGTGGCTTCTGTAACTAGGTTGCTGGGGAGCCACCCAAGTACGTGCCCCTTGATCTCCACAGTTCATTTAAATGAAGTTCTATGATTTAAATTTTTTTTTTTTCAAAACTCCTGTCTGAAGAGAAAGTATGTTTCTTACAGCTGTCCCCTGTCTCAAACTGGCTCATTTTTTAAAAAGTAGACTGTAGCTGGTTGCATTGGCACACCCCTATAATCCCAGCAGCTCCGGAGTCTGAGGCAGGAGGATCTCAACTTCAAAGCCAGCCTCGGCAACTTTGCAAGGTCATGAGCATCTTAGTGAGACCCTGTCTCAAAATAAAATGGGCTGGGGAAGTGGCTCAGTGGTAAAGTACCTCTGGGACCAATCAGTTCCCAGTACCAAAAAAAAAAAAAAAAGACCCTAAGAGTAAAGCATATTTAGCACTCCTTTGTTAAAACTAGGAAGACAAGATTTTCTTTTAATTTTTAAAAAATGCATTGTAAAGTGACAAGAGTCTAAAACAGGAAGAGTCAAACGAGCTGTCTTGCCTATGGCTCCCATGTAATTCCGAGAGATACTGAGCAGAATTTGCTATAAATTCCCCACATTTTTGTGCCCTCACATGGTATGCAGTATAGTTTTCAGTTTTGTTGTTGTTGTTGTTGTTGTTGTTATCATTAAATGGGCTTCCATGTAGGTAGGGTGACCAGCATCCCAATTTGTCCAGGATTGAGGGGAACTCCTGGGACTCAGGGCTTTAAAAACAAAGGTTTTAGAAGTTACACTTTTCCATCTAACTGCAAATACGAATTATTTACAGAACCTGGTGTCTTTTTTTTTTTTTTTTTTTTTTTGTAGTTGTAGATAGACAGCAGCCCTTTATTTTATTTGTATGTGGTGCTAAGGATCAAACTCAGTGCCTTACACATGCTAGGCAGACGCTCTGCCATTGAGCTTCACTCCAGCCCCAAGACCTGGTTTCTTTCCTGTTGTTTCCAAGTTTTCAATGGAAAACTCATCCAATCCCGAATCACATAGGGATTGGAGATGCAAATGTCCCCAATCTGACTTTCTTTGAGAAGCTCTGGGAGGGTACTTTAAATTTGTGCAAAGGCATTTTTATCTATTCCTGCTCAGAGGTTGAGTAAACTGCCTTGTATTTTTATCACCTTTAGGTCCTAGACCAAAATTAGAAAGTTGCATTATGTGAGCTTCTCAGGCTGCCGGGGTTAGGGGAGGTTTCTTTTGAATGGAAGTTTYCTCCAAGTTTACCCCGCGTGATACTTTGGGATACCTAGTTCTAAAGCTTCCTCTGAATGTTGAGCCAGGGGCTCCTCACTTCAGAGGTGAATTTTCTGTGCCCAGACAACCCTGGATGCTATCAGAAATCTTGCATTTGATCTGAAAAAGTACATTCCATGTTCATTTCACACTCTGTTCTCACAGATGTGTTTGCTATAATAATAGTAAACTTCATATCTAGAGGAAGAGTTTTCTAGGCAGATGGGCAAGGTTCATTTATTCTAGGAATCGGGGGTTCCTCGTACCGAGAGGCCAGGCAGAGCCTAGCTGGAAAACGGAGGTCTTGATTACTGGGTAGCTGTAGGTGCCGGGTGTTTCATCATTCTGATGAAATCCAGGTGTTTTCTAGTGTTTTCCATGGCCAGAAACCAAGATTTAGAGGGTTTCCATGATAAGCTCAGGGCAATAAGATGACAAATGGCAGAGCCCCACCCAGGTCTACTCTGCTCCTGAAGTCCTTAGCCCCATACCTGGGTTGGGTCCTCAAGAACAACTGCACTTAGAAATGGTCCCTTATTTATTTTTTACTTAATTTATTTATTGTTGTGCTGGAGATGGAACCCGGGGTCTCCCACCCACCAGGCGAGCACTCTGCCACTGAGCTCCATCTCCAGGCTTTTTATTTTGAGCCAGGATCTCACTAAGTCACCTGACCTTGTGCTTGTGATCCTCCTGTCTCAGCTTCTGGAGTAGCTGGGGTTTCAGACGTGTGCCACCACACACTACTGTTTACCTTTTAAGTCAAAACTCATTCCCGAATCAGTGATAGTAAGGRAATCTGACACATTTTCCTTTTTCTTTGGAAGACGGCAGTTGCAGGCTCGAGTCGTAGCTGGAATGATCAGTTGTGGGAAGCAGCCTTCACCTGATCTGGAACCTTCTCCCCACTCTGTTGGAAGGAAGGCTGGTCTCTTATCTCCACCTCCCAGCAGAGGGGGCCTCTGGAGCCGCCCTGTTGTGGAACAGGGGCTCCGACCAACCCACACGGGAATCCAGACCTTCCCACTGTACTGTGTGATTCTACAAGATGTGACAGAAACGTTTTTCTGACAGAGGTGGGGACCATCTTTCAGGACTGACCCATGCCACCCCAGGGGGACATTAAGCCCCCAGCGCCTTCCTCACTCCTTGTACCATCTGGGGGCTGGTGAGGACTGGAGAAGGGCCACAGGCTGGAGCTCTTGAGCAGGGCTTGGGGTGGGTGGGTGAGTGAGTGGCGCTCGACTCCCGGGTGCTGGAGGAGTCYGCCAGGGAGAAGAAGCTGGAGTGACTCAGATCTGCCACAGCCTGTGGCACTTGATCTCCGAAAACRTTGACACATGCCAGAGCTGGACGAGCCATCGCAGCCCCAGCTCTGCCGCTTCACCACGATGTGACCCTGTCCAGCAGACGCCCCCTCTGGGCCTTGTGTCCTCATTTGTAAAGTGAGAGCACACACATCAGAGTTCTTGTGGCCATTCAAAGGGACAGCATAAAGAGCACAGCCCAGGACTCACTGTGTAGCAAGAGCACGACAAACATCGGCTTTCATCATTATTCAACAGGCTTTTGCTTGTCCAGGGCCTGCTCAGTGCCTCCATGGGAATGCGCTGCCTTTTCAGGAACCCTCTTTTCAGAGTTGTTTTTCGAATGCCAGCTTGCTAGAAGTGGGGCAAGAGGGAATCGGGAGTTGGTGACACACCTGGGCCCATCTGGCCTTGTTTGGTTTTTGGTACTGGGGACTTAGCCCAGGGGCACTTGACTGCTGAGCCACATCCCCGGCCCCCTTTTTTGCGTTTTATTTTGAGACAGGGTCTCACTAAATTGCTTAGGGCCTTGCCAAGTTGCTAAGGCTGGACTTGAACTTGCGATGCTCCCGACTCGGCCTCTCGAGTCTCTGGGACTGCAGGYGAGCACCACTCACCCGGCCCATTTGGGTTTCAAGCCCTGTCTAGTCTCACTGAGCTCTCCTTCCTGTTGGGGAGTCTGGTATATTGTGACGGTGTCCCACAGACTACCTGTGATAAGTCCTAGGCAGAAGAGACCAAGGAGCCACGAGCCCAGTGCCACACCTTGACATTCACGCCCGTGGGGGCTCCATGGGAGGGAGGATCCTCCAGGTGGGCAGGAGGGCGATGGGCTGGGCACCCAACACGCCCAGCTAGAGTCAGCATCCAAGCCCATGCTGCCCCTTCTGTGTTCCAAGAGCCCACCCCTGCCCTCGGGAAGCCTGCAGTCCACTGGTGGAGATCAGCGGGTGCATTAAAGACATGGTCACGTCAGCCTTGATGAGTGGCAGGAAGAAAAGGGACATGTCATTGGGACTAAGACAGACTGTGGAGGGTCAGGACCGGTCTGGAATGGCAACATGGATGCCAAAGACAGTAAAAAGAGCAAGAGACAACAGATAAGGGTGTGGAGAGGGGACAGGGGACGGCCAGAGAGGGAAGAATATTCCAGAACATTCCAGGCAGCATGTGCAGAAGGATTTGGAGGCCCCAAATGACCAGGGCCCTGTGGACTGTGGGAAGCAACACAATGAGAAACCATTGAAAAGCTGAAATTTAGTTGYTGCATCCTGTCAGGGCGGCTGGGTACCTTTAACCCCAAGTTCCCTTTTCAGTAAAATAAGGTACTGGTACTTCCACGGAACTGGTCTCACAGGGTGACACGAGATAACAACCCYAACCCTAAGACAGAGCCCTGCGCAGTGAGCACCAGGACGTATTGGCTCCTCGTGTTCACGGTTAGCTCTGTGGGTAGGATGCCAGGCATTCCATTTAYGTGGTGTTGGCTTGGTGGGCCACACAAACGCGAGCTTTAAACTTTGCATCCAAAGTTTAAATAACAGCGAATGCTCATGTGATCACCTCAGTTCTTACCTCAGTGATCACCCATGGCCTGTTCTTGGTGTTTCATCTGCCCACACGCTGGCTCTTCTCCCCTCTATTTGGTTTCCTGGCATTTTTATTATGATTATTTCAAACATACAACAGTTGAAAAGAATTTCACAGTGACTGCCCGTGCTCCCACTGCTTGGGTTCTCCCGGTGACATCTTAGTATATTTGCTCTCCCTCATGTCTGTCCTTCTATCCACATTTTTTATGCATTTCATATAAATTGTAGTCATTAGTATCTTTACCTCTCAAATACTTGAGCATATTTATCATTAACTAAAGTTCTGTTTTTCTGCAATATTTTGAAAATCTCAGCCAGATAGCTTTCTGCCCACAAATATTTTAGTACCTATGTCTAGAAGAGATGAGGATTTTTTTAAAACCATACATCACCAAAAGGGTCTCCAACCCAGTGATAGTTCTTAATCTAGAAGAAGCGTCCCTTGGGATCTGGAATGGATTGGTTCCAGAACCCCTCCCTTTCCCTGCCCAAGGATACCAAATCCACAGAAGCCCAAGTTCCTTATATAAAATGGCACAGTGTAGCCGGGCACTGTGTCACACCCCTGTAATTCCCTAGGAACTTGAGAAGCTGAGGCAGGAGGATCGCAAGGTCAAGGCCAGCTGCRGCAACTTGGTGAGACCCTCTCTCAA